TTATTTATATAGAGCAATATCCACAGCACTAACTTTTATTATGGGAAAATTACAAATATTTATAAAAGCAGAGAGTAATAGAATGAATATCTCCATATTAGTTATGTCTCTCCTTAACATTTGCTAGTTTTGGTCTGGTGAAATGACTCAGTGGATTAAAAGTGGTTGCCAGGCATCCTGCCCAGCTGACTTGGACTGTCAGATCCCTGGTAGAAGGACACACCAACTCCAGAAATTTGTCTCTGCCCTCCACACATGGGCCCTGGCACTCACATTCACACTCAATCTTATCCCATATTTCCAACTATTCTTCCCAGGGTCAGAGTAGTTTAGTGCAAAGTCCCCTATTGTGACTCATAAACACTTGTCAATTAAAGAGAAGAAGCATGTAAACTGGTGTGGTGGCATGTGTCCTTAATCCCAGCCCTAGGAGATGGAGACAGCAGAATCTGAAGTCAAGTTTAGCCTTGGCTGCTTAGCGAATTTGAGACTAGCCTGGAACATGTAAAACAATGACTCAAAAAAAAAAAAAACAAAAAAAACAAATCCCACAAATCAAAACAGTGACCCCAAGTCAGGTTTAGAAATATACTATTTTCGCTGGGCATTGGTGGCACTTACCTTTAATCCCAGTACTGGGGAGGCAGAGAGAGGCGGATCTCTGTGAGTTCGAGGCCAGCCTGGTCTACATTGAGATCCAGGATAGGCACCAAAAATACACCAAGAAACCCTGTCTCGGAAAAAAAAAAAAACACACATATATTCTATTTTCCACAGACCTTGATGCAAGTGTTTGATCCATGAGTTTGAGGACAGCCTGGTCCACTCAGTGAGTTCCTGCACAGCTAGAGCTACACACTGAGACCCTGTCTTGAACAAAAAGAGGGCTGGGGGTCTGGAAGGTGAGCTAGAGAGACGCTCAGTTGCTAATAACCTCTAACTGCTCTTGCAGAATGATGAAGCAACTTTCTGCGATCTCAAATCCAGTGATTTGTCCCAACCCACAGCAAGTGCAAAGCATCATGAACACAGCAGTGCTCTGCACCCCGTTGTGACTCTTGAGACACAACCTAACTGAAAAAGCCAACCCTGTCTGCAAAGAAGAACTAGCCACCTGCTTAAGCACACAGCCCCCTTCCTCTCTCCTCCTAGCTTGGTAAAAGGGTCCTAGTCTCTAAGAGAGGCATGCTTGCTCATGTGAGCTCTTCCCAGGTTCTCTGAAATAAACCTGCCTGCATTTGAGTCCAGTCCTCTGACATCTTTTTCCACATTGCTTCCTAACATAGTACTCAATCCCGGAAAGAGAACTTGGAGCAGGAGCCCATCTAGCAACCCAGGGAGCAGGTGCAGCAGCAGGGCACCCAGGGCTAACCCTTGATCCTGAGGTGTCCCTGAGGCAGTTCCACCCTGTGTCTGAGCCTCCCCTACTCCTTCCCACTCACCCTCCCCCTGCCTGCTCCTGGCATGGACACCTCTCCAAACACTTGGGCTTGTTTCTCCAACTGCTCCCTTGTTAATGCACCTGGCTCTTCTCTTGTCTCTACCTCCTTCCCCCAAACCTCTGTCCCCTCCCCTACTTCTTGCCCAATTGACCCAGAAAAAAATGAAGATTATTCCACCCAGAGTCAGACATCCAACCTGAGGCCATGCTCTGACCCGTGAGGTGATGAGTGTCTTCTGTCTGGATGAAATTTGGGACTCCCTCATCTTCCCTGTGCTCAACCCTTCTCCCCAGGAGAGGATCACCATCTCTTTTAAAGCTAGGGATCCCCATCTTCTAACAAACACCCAAACTTCTCACCCCTCCTGGCTTCTCAAAACTCACTTCCAGGGATTGAACTCAGGACTTCATGCTTAGCTGCAGCTGCCTTAACCACTAAGCAGATTCTATTTCAGCGTGTGTGTCCTTGTGAGAAATTAGGTGAGGTCCACAGAGACAGCAGCTCTTCAGCACTGTGCTTCATGGAAGAAGAGGCTGTGGAAGGAAGACAGGACTCTGCCTTGTGTCGGGACTGGGAATGGAGACTTGATTTTCATCCAGGGCTAGTCATGGCAGGTGGTATTTGTTCTGGATCTTGAAGGAAAGCGAAGATTTTATGGGTAAAGATGAAATTACAGAGGAGGAAGCTTTAGCTAGTGAGAGCAGGAGGAAGGTGTCTTATTAGAGATCCAGTCAGGGCTTCCAGACTGTCATGGTCATGGAGGGCATGTCTTGAGTATAGCAGAGAGATGTGGGAACCTGGCTTCTTCTTATCAAAGCTGCAATCTGGTTTATAGCCAGAGACTCTTGTCATTCAAAAGTTTCCCCTCTTTATCACTTATGTGTTCTGTGGACAGGATTTTTCTTATTGTCGATTCAATATATCAATTACTTGCTCATTTTTTTCCTTGAAAATGTTTAAATGAATCTGTCAAGTAGCATGTGTGCATGGTACAGTGAGATTCTGTGACACTGGCTTTATAAAGAGATGAAGGTATGTAAAAATGGCACACACCTTTTATCTCAGCACTCAGGAGGCAGAGGCAGGTAATTCTGTGTGAGTTCAAGGTCAGTCTTTACTATATAGCAAGTCCCAGGATGGCCAGGACTACACAGAGAAACATGTCTAAATAAAAATGGAAAAACATGACAAAACAACAACAAAATCAGCCAGGCAATGTTGGTGCATCCCTTGAATCCCAGCACTCAGAAGAAAGAGGCAGGTGACCTCTAAGTTTGATGCCAACCTGAGTTACAGAGCAAGTTTTAGATCAGCCAGCATTACACAGAGAAACTCTGTCTCCAGAAAAAGGGAAAATGGAAACAAAATGAAAGTCATTAGGTCAGTATAGGGTCAGGGTTTTAGGTGCTGGTTACCAAACCTGAGGACCTGAGTCCCATCCCTGTTACCCAAGTGGTGGGAGGAGAGGACTGACTCCTCAAAGTTGTCCTTGGACCACTGACATCCAACATACATGCCCCCACACACAAAATAAATGAATAAAATGTAATAAAAACATAAGGTTAAGGAATGTTTCCCTGGTTAAGCATACTCACTGCTTTCTCAGAACACCCAAGTTTGGCTGCCGGAACCCACAGCCATCTGTAACTCCAGTTCCAGGGGATCCAATGCTCTCTTCAGGTCATTCCAGGTAGCAAGCACGCACATGCTGTACATACATACATGCAGACACACACGTATACATAGAATTAAATAAATGAATCACTTTAAGTACTAAAAACAAAGAAAGGAAAGTAGGCTCGGGGCTCGGGAGAGCTCAGTCAGTGAAGGGCTTGCTGCACAAGTGTGGGAACTGATCGGATCCACATCCACAGGTGTGGGACGTGCACCTGTCATCCTGTGCTGAGGAGTGAGGACAAGGGGGTCCCTGGGGCCACACAGTCTACCCACATCACCAGGTCCCAGGGTTAATGGGAAACTGTCTCAAAAATAAGGTGAGAAGGATTGAGGGAGAAACCAGATAGGTCTCTGTCATGTAGCCCAGGTTAACCTGGAACTCATTGTATAGCTGTGGGTGACCTAGAACTCTTGTTCTTCTTGCCTCTGCCTTGTTAGTGCTGGGATTATAGGCCTGGACCATCATACCCAGCTGGTATTTTACTTTATACATTTCTGTATGATTTGTATTTTTATTCCAAGGATACATAGCAAGACTCACAAAGTGTGTGTGTGTGTGTGTGTGTGTGTGTGTGTGTGTGTGTGTGTGTGTTTGTCTGTCTGTCTGTCTCTCTGCCTATCTGTCTGTGTGCCTGTACATGTGGAGGTTCAGGGTGTCCTCAGGTGTCATTCCTCAGGAGCCATCTACTTACTTCTGAGACAGGGTCTCTCACTGGCCTGGTACTTGCCAAGTAGCCTAGGCTGGGTTACTAGAGATCTCCAGGGACCTGCCCAGTGCTAGGATTACAAGCACTTACCACCCTGCCTGGAATTTTCACCTGGGTTCTGGGGAGCAAACCCAGGCCCTGCCACTTACAAGGCAATCACCTTAGTGACTGAGCTATCCCAGCCCTTTGTTGGATTTTATTTATTTACTTCTTACTTATTTACTTAAAGTTAATGGTGTTCTGCCTGAATGTGTATGTTTGTGCCATATGAATGAATGCCTGATGCCCATGGAAGCCTGAAGAGTGGGTCAGATACCTTGGAAGAGTAGTTACACATAGTTATGATCCACAATGATAACCTGGGTCTGTAGGAAGAGCAGCTAGTGCTCTTATCTACTAAACCAGCTATTCAGCAACCCCCACCCCAGTACTTTCATTTTTTAATCATAGACTCTCATTATATAGTCTTGGCTGGACTGGAAATAGCCATGTAGCCAAACTAGCCTAGAACTTGTGGCAATCTTCCTGCTCTGCCTTCCAAATGCTGGGAGTACAGCCACATGCCACCATGCTGCTGGGAAACACAACTTTACAAAGCAGAATAAAATAATAATATACACTTCAATGGTTTCATGCAAAATGCTGTACCAACCAGGCAATGCAGCATACACTTTTTTTATTTTATTTTTATTTCATTTTACAATACCATTCAGTTCTACATGTCAGCCATGGGTTCCCCTATTCTCCCCCCTCCCACCCCCTCCCCTTACCCTCAGCCTACCTCCCATTCCCACCTCCTCCAGGGCAAATCCTTCCCTGAGGACTGCAATCAACCTAATAGACTCAGTCCAGGCAGGTCCAGTCCCTTTCTCCCAGACTGAGCCAAGTGTCCCTGCATAAGCTCCAGGTTTCAAACAGCCAACTCATGCAATGAGCACAGGACTTGGTCCCATTGCCTAGTTGCCTCCCAAACTGATCAAGCCAATCATGTCTCACCTATTCAGAGGGCCTGATCCAGCTGGGGGCCCCTCAGCCTTTGGTTCATAGTTCATGTGTTTCCATTCATTTGGCTATTTTTTTCAATAATTGAGTAGAACTGAAATTCGTTATAAGCCACAGTCATCCTAGGGACCTCCATGCTTTATATATAGCCTCTATGGTTCTATGGGTTGTGGTCTGATTGTTCTTTATTTTATATCTAGAATCCACCTATGAGTGAGTACATACCATGACTGTCTTTCTGGGTTTGGGTTACCGCACTCAGGATGATTTTTTCTTGTTCCATCTATTTGCCTGCAAATTTCATGCTTTCATTGTTTTTCTCTGCTGAGTAGTACTCCATTGGCAGCACACACTTATAACCCCAGCACTTGAGGCAGAGGCAGGAGAATCTTTGTAAGTTCAGGTCAGCCTGGGCTACATAGTGAATCCCTCAAAACAAAACTGGCCTAGCCATGGTAGAGACTGGTTCTGTTGACAAGCGTGGGGGAAGGTGACACTTTCCTCCCTGAGGGTGATTGGCAAAATCACGCCACACCCTGAATATCACCTACATCCTGTCCCTTCACAACACAGAGGCATCACCTTCCTGAACAGACAGAGACGTGCACAGCATAGCATGGATGTCAACACACACACACACACACACACACACACACACACACACACACACACACACACACACTAAATAAATGAATATTATACATATTAATGTCTGTTTCTCAGAGGTGGTTTGGCAGTTAAGGGCATGCACTGTTCTTCTCCAGGACTTGAGTTCAGACCCCAGCACTCTCCTCAGTTGGCTCACAACTGCCTGCAATTCCAGCTCCTGGGGATCTGACACCCTTTTCTGTCCTACACAAGAACCCACACTCACAGCCACATACCCTTCACAATACAATATGTAATAAGTCATTTAAAACTTAAAAAATTTAATTTCAGGCTGGAGAGATTGCTTCTTCGTTAAGAGCACTGGCTGCTCTTGCTGAAGTCATAGAATTAAATAAATAAATGATTAAATCTCAAGCAGCCACACCGGGGCTTACGACTCTGTGTAACTGAGTTCAAGCTGGTCTAAAACCCTCTTCTGGCCTCCATGGGCACCAGATAGGCATGTGATATACAGACATACATGCAAGGAAAGCCCTATACACATAAAAATTATACAAATGATTAATTTAAAAGGAAAATGTCTCTCTGGTCAGGCACTGTGGTCACACCTATAATAGAAACACTCAGAAGACGGAAGCAAGAAATGTAAGAGTTCAATTCCCTTTCATAGCAACATGTTGTATCAGGAAGGCGGGAAGAAAGGTAGGAGGGATGGAGGAAAGAAAGGAAGGGTGGATAGGAGGAAGGAGGGAAGGGAGGAAGGTGTGGTGGTAATCTAATTGTACTGAAATATTATTTTGATTGTATGTTAATAAATAAAGTTGCCCTGGGGGTCAGAGCTATTAGAGCCATAGCAAGAGTGTGGCGGTGGTGGTACACGCCTTTAATCCCATAGATATCTGTGTGTTCAGGGATATAGCCAGCA